GAAATGAATAATGATCAACAGTAAAAATAATAGTAATAAATATAAATAAATAAAAATAAATCAACAATCAAGGAAAATGAGAATTAAGATAACAATGACAGCAAATAAAATTAGAAATAAAAATGAGAGAGTTAAAGTGGACTTAGAAGAAAGATCATGGGAGTAGAGCGGCCTTGTTCCCAGCATTAGTCAAGGGGGATTCATGGCTTCCCTAAATTTTAACAATAAAAGAGTATAAATTTTAACAATAAAAGAGTATAATCATTTAATTGCACAGTTACTCAGTAGCTTGTTCTATGTCCTTACTAGCTCCATATCAGTCCTTATTCCATGAAAATAGGTGAAGCCCCAGTCCGGGGCAGCCCGGTTTTACCCAGCCATTTCCCGTGCCCGAGGCTCCGAGCCCTCCCGAGCCCGGTTTTACCAACCCCCCCCCCCCACTAGAGCTAAAGCCACTCCTTCATTGTTTTAATACAAAATGTCTACTTGGCCTCATTTTGGTACCAATGCTATACACGTTGGACAGGACCCAGAACAATGGAACTGTAAAGCAATAGTACCGCCAATATTCACCTGCACCACTTATAAACAAGATGAACCAGGAAAACCAGTAAGAAGATAAACTGATGAGTAACTAATTAACAATGTATGTCACCTTCTCTTTCTCTCTCTCTCCAGCCCATGCATGATTACATTAGGGATGGTAATCCAACTAGAACTGCATTAGAGAAGTCACTGGCAGCTTGTGAAGGAGCACAATATGGTATGAATTAACTTATACAATTATAAATCACTGATTTAAATTGATTCATTTTAATTTGCAAAGTTTTATATACTTTAGCAACTTATAAAGTTTTGATTTATTTGTCCTCATTAAAAACTATCAATGTCTTTCAAGTATTGTTCATAAAACATAATTAATTCTCTTTATATCTTATCTTAATCACCTTTTTCATTCTTTCCCTTCATAATTGTTCTCTAAATATATCTCCTTCTTTCTTCCCCCCTCTCTCTCTCCTCTACTCTATAGCTCATACATTCAGTTCTGGTATGTCAGCAGTATCAACAGTGATGCAGGCTTTACTAAAATCAGGAGACCACATTGTATCAGTTAATGATGTGTATGGAGGAGTGAACAGGTTCTTTAGGAAAATAGCCAGTAACTTCAATATCAGTGTCACACTGGTTGATGCTACTGATACTAGTAATGTACTGAATGCTATTAAGGATAATACTAAGGTGAGAGATGGGGGAGAGAAAGGGGGAAAAGAGGGAGGGAGAGAGGGAGAGAGGGAGGGAGAGAGAGAGAGATGGGGGGAGGGAGGGAGGGAGGGAGAGGGAGGGAGGGAGGGAGAGGGAGGGAGGGAGGGGAGAGAGAGGGAGGGAAGGAGGGAGGGAGAGAGAGAGAGAGAGGGAGGGAGAGAGAGAGGGAGAGAGAGAGAGAGAGGGAGGGAGAGAGAGAGAGAGAGGGAGGGAAAGAGAGAGAGAGAGGGAGGGAGAGAGAG